TCCCGACCGAAAACCCTCTGCTACAATTTCATTTTTCCCAATCTCGGTTCTTTTAAAAATACTGGTCTCTACTTCTAAAAGGGCATGGACTCCCATTGAAGCCTGCTGTCTGGCTTCATGGACTCCCACTAGAACAGGGCATGGACTCCCACTAAAAATCAATTTAAAATACCAGTTCTCGCCAGCATAGAATAGTACTCGATCTCACTGCGTCTAAAATATTAAATCAAATTCATCAGTAAAAGTCAAAAAAACCTAAGGCTTGGAGTATTATTTGAAATAATAACAAGTTTAGCCTTTCCAGAACGAAGAGTCTTCAATGTTTGCTTGTAGCCCAAACAATATTTGCCCGATTTGGTGACCATAGCGAGACGAGCATTGATATTTTCTGTGGACTTTTTCTGAAAATTGAGAGATCAATAACGATAAAATTTAAAAGAAATTAACCTGTTTTCCAACGACCATTGTAACACAAAATTAAAATGTCTTTTTTAACAAATCTGAAATACAATAAAAATAGTAATGTCAAGTAGAGGTTAACACGGGACAGGATCCTGTACGGGATTATCCGGGATACTGTCCCGAAATCCCGTATTTTAAGCGACGGACGGAATTATCGGGGAGAGAGAAATCCTGAGATCCTGTTCCCGAGAGATCCTGTCCCGCAAAAATTTTTGAAAAAAATCCCGTTACGGGATCACGGGAATGCGATTTTACCGATGTCAAGAGCAAAATTTAGTGAAAACAAAAAGGAAAAATGAACAAAAGTTTAGAAAAGAAGAAAATGATAAAATGTTGCCTTTTTTAATTTAGCTGTTTTAAAGTTACCATTTTGAAAGGTTAATGCAAAACGCCAAAATATTTTTAGAATAAACTTAAATTTTGCTTAGAATTTCGTTTTTTTTTTATTTTTTGCTTAAAAAATTTTATTTTTAAGGTTCGTTATTTAAATTTATTTAAAAAATGACCGCTTCATTATTTCAAATTCGAAATAGGCCAGATTTGACGGTAATCTTTCTTTTTTTATTTCAATCAATTTCACATTTCAGCTTGACAAATGCAAAGAACAAATTGAATTGGCCAAAAATGAAAACAAAACATTTCTTCGTCAAGCATTTCAAGCACATCTTGTTAATCTATTAAATCGAGAGAAGAATTTTAGTCAATCAGTTCTTTTAGGTTTTTTCTTCTAATTATTTCAATATCCATTTTTTAGCTTCCGAACTCGTCAAAGAACTTAAAAAAATTGATGACAAGGAATTGTTGGTTGATGTTTTGTTGGAAGAGAGCATTGTATTCTTTTAATTAGAGATCGGAACTGATCCGGGACCCGGTTTTCGGGCCTCTTTTCTTGGTTTTTTTGAAGCAACCGGGATGAAACTGGGAACGAGAATTCCCGGTTTTCCCGGTCCAGGTCCCTCCCGGTCAACCTTTAGAACCCGGACCCGGTTTTTCCAAATTCCGATCTATACTTTTATTTTTTGAATTTTTTTAAATTTTATTTTTAAGGCTTTTTATCACCTTTCAAACCTCACAAAAGCTCGTGCCTCTCTAACAAATGCACGTACCATTGCCAATTCAAAATATACTCCTCCTGCTATGCAAGTAAGTTTGCTTCGTCTTCTCAATTTAAAATTTTTCAAATAGGCAAAACTCGACCTCCAGTCTGGCATTTTACACGCGGCCGAGGATCACGATTTCAAGACGGCTTTTTCTTATTTTTATGAGGCTTTCGAGGCGTTTGATTCTGTGAATGACAGCAAAATGGCACAGAATGCACTTAAGTATATGCTTCTTAGTAAGGTTAGATAAAATTTATTTTTGGTTTTATGGTCCTTTTTGATGTCTGTTAGGCTTGGGTGGGTAGGAGAGATGGTTCGGGTTATCCTAAACCCAGACTTTTTTTACCTGAAAACTGGTTTGAAGGAAATTACGGGCCTCACAATCAGTCAGAAATTCGATCCGACTTTTTTCTCAACCTGTCCCGTTTTTTGTAGAGTCTAATTATACCACAATTTCTATTAAATTTAACTACCAAGCAAGGGAGGCGAAGAAAATTTGGATTGATTAGGCATTAAACTTTTTTTGAATTTAACTTAACAAATCTAAGCTACTCATTCAGAATCCATACTTAAAATTTTTCGTTAAAAATTTTCAGATTATGACAGATAATGCTGATGAAGTAAACAGTATTTTGGTTGGTAAAACTATTTCAAAATATTCTGGTCCCGAAACTGATGCAATGAAGGCACTTGCCAATGCTGCAAAGAAACGATCTTTAAAGGAATTTAATGAGGTTTTTTTTATTTTTTATTCAGTCAACTCCCCTCTACTTTTTTTAGACTTTTTCCAAATACGGAGATCAATTAATGGAAGATCCTGTTGTCCAAAAACATTTTTCTTCAATTTCTGATACAATGTTTGAAAAGGAACTTTCTCGTTTAATCCAGCCTTATTCTTGTGTTCAAATTGAGCATATCTCTAAATGTGTTGGTTTGAACCGTGATTTGGTCGAAAAGAAATTGAGTCAAATGATTTTGGATAAAAAATTTTATGGTAAGTGGATTTGAGGTTGGATTGACACAACTGGTTATTAGCCGGTCCCAGTTTTCGGTTAATGCTAATTTAAAGAACACAGTTTTGAATTTAGTTAAATATAGTTTTTATTTTGGGGTAATATTTTAAAAAAAAATTTCGAAAATTTACGAGGTTTTTGTTTTAAAATTTAAGAAAAACTGTTAATTTCTGTTAAGAAATATCGGATTTTGTACTTATTCACTCCCCCAGTCAATTTTTTTGGAAAATATGTAGAAATGCTCAGTCCGAACAATAAATGTCATTTGACATATTGTCAGATTTGTTCCACATTTCTTGTTCGGTCTCACCATTTTTGCATGTTTTTCAAAAAAATTGACGTGGGGGAGGGGGGGGGTGAGTAAATAAGTACCTCAAATCTTTTGGGGTTAAAACATGTTGTGTGTCTAACCCTAATTTGAGGTTTTTTGAAGAAGATTATATTTTTAATTTAGGTTGTCTTCAAGGCGATGGATTGCTTGTTATCTTTGATAAGGAAATTGTGGACCCTTCTTTTGAGTTGGCAGTAGAGGCGATTCATGCGATTGGAGAAGTAAAATTTTTTCAATTTTTTAAAGTGTATTTCAAAATTTAAGGTAGTAGACTCTCTTGGGGACAGAGCAAAGAAAGTAAAATAAGTTTTTTTTTGAAATTTTTTGGGCACATTACTCGTTCGTTTTGTTCTTTTTTCAGCAAATGTTTTTTTATGTAAACTCGTTTTTATGGTATAATAAAACAAATTAAAAAAATTTAATTTTTATTTCCTTTCACGTCCTTCTAACTCTAAATTATTCACAAAAATTAATTTTTCGAGAAATTATTTCACAATATCACATCCTCATAAATATTCACATTATCTCGTTATACTTGCCGGATTTGCTAAAAAAATTATTTTAAAAATTTCTAGAATTTTTTAAAAGCTTCAAACCTTTCCTCTTTTTCAATTTTTGTTTCAATCATTTTCTTCTCAAGGTTCAATTCCTTATCCATGTTTTCCTTCTCACACGATTTTTTCGAAACTTTGAGTGGTAGACACTTGAGGCATTTAAGAGTACACCCACAAAGAGGTGAGAATTGAATACTAAACAGAAAACATTTAAAAAAACATTTAAAAATTCCACAAACATTTTTCCTTTTGAACTCTCCGTTGTTTTATCCGTTTCTTTTCGATTGTGTAAACAACGACAAATTATTGGCATTTTTTAAAATTAATCTAAATAAATTAATTTTAAAAAGTTAACTGAAAAAAGTGTTTTCGAAATTGTCTTTTTGCCTAAAGAATTATTTTCAATAAATATTGGGACTAGATAATATCCCTAGTGCAGAATTTTGTTCCGCTGTGTTCGGTTTTGCACAATTTAGGTTATATAAATCATTGCAAGGCCAGTAAGGTCTTATTATAAAATAAAATATTCGAACATGACTGCAGTATATGCTCGAATAATTGCCACCTTTCAAGTAATTATCCCCTCTAGCGAAAGGTTGAAACAATTATTACCCAGAGTAATTTTTCGAGCATATACGGGAGTGTTTTTGAAGAGAATTTTAATTAAAAGTATTTTGAAAGACTGAATTTTAATTTAATTAAAAGAAAATTTTTTAATATTAAAAGAAATTTTTTTGGACTCTCAAAAAGATTTTTTCTTAAATAAAGCTGCGCACATTAAATCCAGAATATGCTGGAATAAATGACGAATTATAAATAGATTTATTTTTGGTAAATCATTTGAGAGGATATTGCAGTGACTGAACGAATTTTTTTGTTTACAATTAGAATATTTTTTGGATTAAAAACTGGTTAATTTGCGCAAATCCCTTCTTATTTTTAGATATTAGTCAGCAAGTTTTTTTTTAATTGTGGAAGAGAGAAAAATTAAAAAAACACGATTCAAAATTAATTTTTAAAAAATATACAACAAAAATAAATTAGAGGCAATTAATTAAATTTATTTTATAAAAAATATTTTTTACATGAGGTTATATTAATTTTCTTTAATCACGTATTAAATTTTCTTCCCATTTTTGGCGTCAATGTATATTTCGGAGGAGCTTCCCAACTTTCTGGAGGGGGCATATAATCAGACTTTTTCAAGTAAACATCTGGTACTGGGGCTATTAAAAAAATTTTTTTAATTTTTTAGAACACTAGTAGATATAGAGCTTCATGATTGTACTAACTCCTATCATTATTCCCAACGAGTTTCCCCCAAAGGTTGCTTAGAAATACCGTATTGTCTAATAGAAGCCCAGGGCTTCTTTTTTCAATACCCCCCGTTGGGTGGGCTTCTATTAGGGCATGGGCTTCTATTGGAGATGGGCTTCTATTAGAGACAATACGGTAACTCCATCAGCCATAGGAATAACCACAGCGATGAGCCGAGTTAACAGAAATCCGGAATTTTCGACTCGAAATCTGTGATCCAATCCTAAGAAAATTTTGAAACCCCGACCTGACTTTTTTTTAAACAGGCCTATCCTTGATATCTACGCTTGTCGAACATTCCAATCGTTATTCACAACATGTTTCTCCCCAAAAATTGCTTGGAAACTTTTTTGGAGTTTACTTATTCAGAAACTCATTTTTTAAACTTAAAAATAAACTCACTTCGCATCCCTTTAAGTAAATGAACTGTAGTCTTGCCATTCTTTTCGTTCTCCCAGGCAATCATTTGCCTCCAAAATGCTAAATTTGGGGCGATGATAGGTCTTGCACTTTAATAAATTATTCAAAAATATTTTCTCGCTAAAAATATTTACCTAACAACAGTATAATAAGCTTCTCGTAGTGATAATCCCTCATTTATTACTAAAGTCATTATTGTTAATGTAGCAGCTCTACTGATACCAGCAGCACAATAAATGACCGTTTTTCCTCCCTATTAGGAAAATTAGAATTTCAAATTTATTTTTGAGTTTAAGCTTAAAGGAAAGGGAATGGATTCATGTTTAATAACTCCTTATAACTTGTAAGGGAGTTATTAAGGTTAATGTCTTAAGGTCTTTGTTAAGGTCTCTCTATAAGATACCCAGAAAGTCTATACTATTGAGCTTTGTAGTGGAAATCGGACCGGGTTGGACAGTTAAAAACATTTCCCCCCGTTAACTTTTCAAACGCCGACTTCAATCTTAAATATCGGTTGATCCTCAAGTCTGGTCTCCATCTAGCAATATTAGGGTAACTCTCTATTATTAGTGAGAGAGAACATAAGAAAAATATGCATCAAACACAAGCCAAAATTCAATAAAGAATCGTAACTTCACCAAACTTTTTGTTTTGCTCCTCTAACAAAATCGGCAACCCCTTGAAAATATTTGGTGACATCAACATTTAACGAATCATCAATTGGCACATAAAGGTAGTCAATCCCTTGGAAGCGTTTTGTGTTTGGTATGTTTGTGGCATCTACACAATGAGTTATTCCTAATTGGTGAAGTTTGGATTCTTCCAATGACTGAAACAAAAATGCTAATTTCAAGAAATTTACACACATTTCCTCCTATAACCCCACAGAGATATTTTCCAAAAACACATGTTTTTCATGTTGTATACAAGTCGAATTCATTATAAACCACTTAATTACTAGATACATCTCAATTTAGAATTCGTTTGCCACTTATGTGGGGGCAGGGCTGGGCTGTCTTCCGCCCCCGTTCCGCTTTTTAGAATACGAAAGATCCCATCTCATGTGTGGAGTTATCTATGTGATATATCCAATTTGCATTTCATTATAAGAGGCAATATCTTAAGCTCTAGAGTGTGTATCATACAGTGAGATTGATTGTTTTTGGCTAATGATATCCGATATTGAATCAAACCGGTTATAACCTCACAACATCCATTTAGTTACCTATGTATAAGGCGTACTTTAGGGTGGGGTTATAACTGGAGTCAACTAAAAATTTACAAAATGGGGTAAAAATATGTTCACTTACTGCATATCCGGCAATAAATAAATGAGGTAAAACTTCACATATAGAAAAAAGGCTTGAAGGTCTGCTTAACTGCGGCGGATGACCTACTAGCTTTCCTGAGGAATTAATTTATTTGGTAATAATTTTAGAGGCCTACCAGCATTCATTTTAAGGGAAAAAAATTTTCTTTGGAAATTAAAGGGATTAAAAAATAAAATTAAAAAAATATTTTTTTTGTCTTTAAATTTGTTTAACTGAGACAATATTTTTTAGACTGGCAAAAAAAATAGTTTAAAATTTCAAAAAAAAAGTTCAAGATTAAATCAATCCTCTTTCATCTTCTTGGGTAAATAAAGACAGCTGACGAGATTAAGAAACAAATAGAAAGAGAACCCAAGTGCTCAGATTTTTTAAAAATGTTTTTATGTCAAATTTCTTGTTATCTTTCTCAAGTTTGGGAGGAAAATAAAAAAAAATGGAGAAGAAAATAAATCATAGGTCAAAGGCTGAGTTCCAAGGTAGAAGCTTGCCAATTGATAAAATCAAGGTGATAATCAAACCTTCAGAAAACCATTTTATATTTCAGGTAAAAATAAGGACAGGGGGGGGACGAAATAAATACTCATTAATTTTTGTTAAACATTTAAACTTTTTTAATTTCCTTTCTTGGGGGTTTAAAATTAATTTTTAATTTGCCAGTCATCAGTCAATATTTTTATTAATTCAATAGTCGTTATAAAAAAAAAATTTTTTTAATTCAAAGCATTGCCCGCCATAAAAGAAAGATCAGATACAAGTAGTCTCGAAATTTCAATCGCTCTTTCGTATCCTTTTCCCGTTTCGTTTCCAAAAGAAATAGCCAAAATTTCCGGACGAAAAACTATTTTTGTTTGGTTTTTTTTGGATTTTTTGTTTGGTCATGTTAACAAAATTTTAAAAAATGATAAGAGAATGTGTGTATTTCTTAAAAGATTAAAAATATTTTTTAATTCTAAAAAAAAATTCCTACAGTCTAGCAACTTTTAACCAGTGTTTGGAAACTCTTAGTACTTACCTGTGTACGGAAGTATAAAAAACCAAATTTCTTTTCTTGAAAAATGGAATTTTAAGGCAAAATTGTTGTTTGCCATAATTTATTAAATTAATGAAAAAACATAAAATATTTATTTACTTGGAATTCGAAATATACAAATTAAAGGTGGCTCAAAATTAAAGTCTAGTGGGAAAATGGGATCAAATTAAATTTATTTTTTTGTTTAAGATCGGAAGAAATGTATTCTGGATAATCAGAGGAAATGATCTTCTTGTTTAAGATCTGGTATAAATTGTCTGTTCATTCAGAGGGAGGTTTAGCCTAGTTGAGCTAAAAAAGGGTGACTGTTGAAATAAAGCTAAGAAGCAGCTAAAGTGAAGCTCAAGAATGAATAAAAAGATGGGCTTTTATAGGCAGGTCAAAGTAATTGGAATTTGCTTAGAAAAAAGTTGAAATAGCAGATGTTCTGGTGAAAAGAAGTAAAGTTAGAAAATTACATTTTTAGATTAAATAATTGAGAAAAAATGACTAACAGGTTTACAATGAATAATGAAAAAAATAAAATTTGTGTTGGCTGGTACTAGTCAAACTTGCAAAAAATTTAGAAAATATTCAAAATAATAACAGGTGTCAAAATACAAAAATAGTTTCGCGTACAAAACGCGACAGAAGTACAAATACGGCCTGTACTTTTTTTTCCAAAAGATAAAAATTTGAACCTTTATAACTTTCCGAAATGAGGACCAGAGCCAAAAAAGCCGAGTATAGGATTAGGCTATCGAACATGCTCTACACGATGGCATAATTTTTATTTTAAAATTTTGGTCACAGTTCGGAATGTTCCCTTGTTAGTGTTCAACTTTTTCCATTTCTTTCCTCATAGGTTTTTCCCAGGGTGGCGGGTAGGGTAGCAAAAATGGACCGACTCGGACCGAAAGATCGACTCGAAATCGAAAATTGAAAGAAAAAGACCTCGAAAAAAGTCATAAATCGAAATTTCGAACCAGCCCTGCTCCCACATGCCTGCGTAATGGCATTTACAAAGTCATTTAAATTGAATATAATATACATATAATTTTATTTAAATAAATTTAGTTAATTATTTTACTTAAAATTAATTTAAAATTAATTTTTAAATTTTCCTTTTAACAATTTTTATAAAAATTTCCACTAAAAAATTGTGTGAATGTGATAAATAGGGAGGTCGGAAATTCTTGAATATGTTTGGTAAAAGCTCTGAAATAACGTTAGAATCCAAAAATCGGAAGGCAGAACTTGAAAAACACTTGGGAAAAAATACCAGAAATTGGAATGCTGGAATCGGAATTCCGGCCCACCTCTGATTTTATTATAAATTTTGTAATAGCTTCTCTGCCCTAAAATAAAACAAAAAATATTTATGTATTAAAAAATATTTTTAAATATTTTTTAAGGAAATGTACATCAAATTAATTTTTTACATTTTCTTATTTTTTCTAATTTTTATCAACATCTCCAACGGAAAAAAGTGTAAATGTCCAACAAATAAAGTATCTTCTGTCCATTCAAAAAATCCAAAAAAACAAACAAAAAATCCTATGTTTCAACGTCGATTTAAAAGAGGAAATTGTAATTGTCTTGGAGGAGAGGGAGCTACAGATGATGATTTTGAAAGCTATCGCAACCCTGAAAAACGGCCTATGACGGAAGAAATGCAACAAGTAGGACATTCTCGACGAAAGAGTAAAAAGGCCAAAAATGCTTTGTATATTTGCGACAATTTTTTCTTCTCACATGTGCAATTTAATGTAAATTTTTTAAATTTAAATTATAGTAAAGCAGACAACCCCATCCATGAAAATAACAAAAGATTGGATTGGGGCTAGATGCTGAGACTGCCTCAGTTCATATTTTCCAGAGTTAAAACGACGTTCCGAGTTAGATAGCGAATCTTATTATTAGGGACAGCCAAAATATGCACCAAAATATGCAAAATTTGCACAAAATAGGCACAAATATGGTCGAAATATGCAAAAATATGCATAAAGAGCCGGGTCCTAAAGTGCTCGAACTTATGTAAAATTTTTGGGCTTCCCACTTCAAGGCATATCCGCATACAAAACATGCATTTGCATGTTCTGTGTGTCCCTACTTATTATTAAGTTCTATAAAGTAATGTTTTTTGAAGTTGCAGACTTTATATTTTAGACATTATTAGCCAACATTCTGACAGAAAAGTATAATGTGGTTAGTTTATATTTAAATACTGATATTTGATGGAAAATAACAGAAAGAAGGCCAGAACATAATTTATGAATAAAATTTTGGGGTTTTCGACATCGGTTCTTAGTGCGTCCCATTTGGTTTAGGAACATACTTTGTTCCTATAAATTTGCTTGAATATTTTTCTGAATTAAAAGATCGGTCTATTTCAATCAAAATTCATTGAATTTGGACGGTAAAAATTAAATTATGACAAAATTGGATCTGGGCGTCGACTCAATATTTTTATTTTTTATTTAGGATATGCTAGTTTACACTAAACCTGAGGGATTAGTAGTACAGTCAGAAAAATTTCAAGTTATTCCTGTTCCAATAAATGAAGAAACCTTGCTGAACTTTGGAACTGCTGATGCATATAAAGATCATGAAAGATATTTTACTATAGGAATTTATAAAGGTAAAATAATTAAAAATAAAATTAAAAACCCGAAAAAGTTACGGGCTTATAAAATGCCATTCTCTAGGGGGTATTATTTTGAAAGAATCAAATGAGATGTGTGTTTGGGTAGTTAGGTACCCCAAAAGATTATTTTCCGGCGCCTTCATAATTACTGACCGACCTCTGCTGAGTAGTAAAAATAGAATATATTCCATTTTTAAAGAAATAATCACAAATGAAGACAGCATTCTTGATCGGCTTCAACGAGATGAATACAATAATATTAAATATGATATTGGAATTGCTGAGTTCAATGTAATGGCTGGCTCTTTTGCTGTGTTTGAAGCATTGGGAATTAAAGAAACTTTTGATGTTTCCAGTTCTGTATTCAATCCAGCACATCTTCAATTCCTCGGAATTAATGTTTTGCGCTTTGAAGTTCCTGGTGATGTATTAATTATTTATTTATTGAAAATATTGCGGGGTGAAGTAAAGGTTAAAAAAAGAAAGATGTAAAATTGACACTAGAGCAGGCCGGCGAAATCCTCGGCTCCACTGATATCCCACTCGATCCATTTGCCTTACACAAATCAAGAGTGATGTCGGTGGACGGGATATCAGAAGTATCAAGGGTTAATTACGATGTCGGAGATTATAGGGATTTAAGGTGATATATTACGGAGTTAAGTGCCTCCCTGATTAACTCAAGTAAAGAAACTGGGCTATAGCATTTTTCTCCTTTAGCTAGTGCAAAAGGTTATTCGGCGGCTGGGAGCGAACCAGCATCTTCAGCAGACCGGACTGGTGTGTTAGCCATTACACCACGCCGCCTACTGTACAGCCTATGGAAATTAATAGCTATATGCTTTACACTCACTAATCCTTGATATTTCTCAACCCAGCGA